ACACAAAATAATTAATGAAACAAGCTCAGAAGTCAACAGCATGTTATAACACAACCATCACCTTTTCTTCAAAGTGATTAGCATGTGTTGAGAGGAAATAACCATATACACATTCTTGTTAAAAAGTCAATGCCTTGTATAAAATGTAACAAGAATTGAAAAGTAAAAGAAAATTCAACAAAGTTTGGAATTGCGGAAATCTAAGACAAGTAGTCAGGAGGCAGATAAGGAAGACAGTGACTTCTAGGTCAATATGGACTCATAGCGAATTCCAGACCAACGTTGGATATATTGAGACCTGGTCTCTAAAAAGTAAGCAATGGGGGAAGGCCCAGGATGCCTCAAACCTATAGAAAGAAATACAAGTGGTAAGGATTACTGAGAATGAGAGAATGGTCTTCCCCAGGGAAGAGCACACAAACTCGCTACCCGATTCCACAAGATCAGCCCTGACAACATATGAACAAAAAACATTTGCAGACTGAATAGGTCATACTTATGAATATAAATGCACTTATATATACAGTCATGTAACAACAATTAATGAAAACCAGAGTATGTATTTGAAGGAGGAAAGGGAAAGGAGAAAGGATGCAATTATATTATAACTTCAAACAAAAGTTGAAGTAATAAAAATAAAAAACCATTCTTTATATACACATTAAATTAAACAAAAATAATTACAAATATGCTTATTTTTCCCTTAGCCTACCTTTGAAAAGTCCATATTTACTGGAAATATTTTTTTAATAAAATTACTTTTGCTTTTATCTAAGTGTAAATCAGTGTGGGCAGGGGACACTCCTGAATTTTGTTTTTGTTTTTTCGAGACGGGGTTTCTCTGTGTAGCTTTGTGCCTTTCCTGGATCTCACTCTGTAGACCAGGCTGGCCTGGAACTCACAGAGATCTGCCTGCCTCTGCCTCCCGAGTGCTGGGATTAAAGGCATGCGCCACCACTGCCCGGTGACACTCTCCTGAATTTACGAGCACATATTACATGCATCTGAATTAACACAATCTTACAATTTTTAAAAGTCTTAAGAGAGAATAAATGAAGGCAGTAACCCTTATAAGACATTGGGTTAAATTAAGGCTAGGTGTCTCTGGAACATCAAAGGATGCAGACAATTTATGTCTGCAATGTCCTCATCTTAATTCAGACTGTGGGCAACAACATACTTGTGGAACCCTTGGCAGGACAGGCTTTCAGACACCTTAAAACAGGCAAATGTGACCCAATTAACTCTGGACTGAAAAAGTTCTCCAATGCAGTTTGGTGTCACATCATAACAAATCTACATATTGGACAGTTGCAGAATACTCACCCCCACATATTTCCATACTTTTTATGGCATTCTATATCATATTTTGATATTCCCTGGGAAAAGAAAAGAAAATGAAAAATCATTATTTTTCTACTTATATTGCCCACCAAACTGTAAACAAATGACTCAAATCCCAGAACATCAGGCTCATTATTTAATTTTCTGACCAAGCAATTAATGGGAATCTTTCCACATTCTCTGAGAGAAAAGAAAATACAGAAGACACTTCACCTAGGAATTTAAAGATATTCATGGTTTCCTTTTTGGATATTATACATTCCAAAAACGTTCCTTCTCTATTAAAAGTAGCAGCTGTCTTTATCTTTGAAAGGTCTCTGGTTTTGTTTTGACTCTGAAATCTTGGAACACTGTCTTTTCCCCTCCTTAGATACCTGCGGGCAACAATAGTCAGGATATGCCATGAATTTACAAAATCTCTTTGCTTCTCACTGCTCACAGCCTCTTTCACTCACTTGATGACTTCTCCAGGATTTCAGTATAGTCAGGAAGTTGAAGACAACATTCATTTATATAGCATATTAGATTTACATAGTTGCCTTTCATAATATTAAATTAAAAGGAACAAGGAAGTAGATGCATATGATTTTGCCTTCTAGTGTCCCTGTTCAACATGGAAACATGAGGATATGCTGCCTCACATAAAGAAAACTTAAAATTGACGGTCATTTTGAACTTTCACCTCTGAACTCTGGGAAAAAAATGCATGTAATCATTAAGTGGCAATTGTAATTTTGGTGGGTAGAATCCTAAGTAACTCAGCCTGGACTCAAACTCTCTGTGCATCTAAGACTGACCTTGAATTCTGATCCTCCTGAGTGCAGGGTTGCTCATGTGTGCCCCCATGTCCAGTTTATATGGTGCTGGGATCAAGTCTAGGGCTTTTTCCATTCTAAGCAAGCATTTTACAGAAGAGAATTCCATATTCACCCACTGTGAATGTCAATTATATGAAACTATGTCTCCAGGCAGGTGACAGAGACCAATGTGTAGAATTCTTTGCCTAGTATTTAAAGCAGAATGAGCCAAAGTACTTTCTGAGACCCTAATGAAATTACAAAGGGAACATTACTTCTTGTCCAGGAACAGATTTGGAAAAGTCCAATCTAGGGCTTGAGCCAGTGCCTGAAAAGAGGGAAGGTTGTAGTTTCTTGGGGATTTGACTTTTTCCTGGGCTGTGGTTCAATCCTGATGCATCTGTGTCAGAGCCATCCTGTTTTCTTTTTGCCAACATTGTATGATTTAGCTGTGTGCTGACCTTGGCCTTTTCTCCTTTACAAACAGCATGTGAAAAGCTATGGTGCCTGATAAAATTCTGATATAATTCATCATATTATGCAAGACCTCCTGGTCATAGCAACATGTCTTCTTTAGTCTCTTACATATTCCTCCAAAACATCTCACCACCTTCCCCTTTGTAATCCTCATTCCCTCCAGTTCTTGTAATTTGGTACTCAATGCAGAGCTCACGATTACTAGAAATCACCAAGAATGAGTGTTAATGTGCTAAATTTAAAAACAGTGTCAGACTTGGGGACTTGTAAGAAGGAATGGAAGAATAGCTGAGAGTAAAACATGGTAGAAAAAGATTCTAAAGAACAATCTCTTTTCATTCATATGCTTCATCTACTTATACTTTGACATGTATCACTATGGTACTTAGATAAATTCTTTAGTTTCATAAAAAAAATGCCCTTAGTTCCCTGAATAAGGTTCTGTAAATTTAAAGGTATGGAAACATGTAGGTGGAAGTTTAAAGACAGATTATCACCTATGAGGGTCTCATAA